GCCACCACCCTTATCTACTTGACCCAGTCCTTGTTTGCTGACCCATTCTGAACACGCGCAGCTTGGTACGCCGATCGGGATGGCGCCCCGGTCAATACCAGGGACGTCCAAGGCGGTAGGTGTGAGATGGATACCAGTGATGATTTCCAGTGCTGGGTCCCCTTCCAGGTAACGGGTATCAGGCAGCTCTAATGCCACGCCCTCTTCTCTCTGGATTCAACCTTTGAAAAGGCGACGGGGGCTATCTTTGGAGGGCGTCATTGATGCCGGCCTGTTGAAGGCGTGGCTAGGTAGGCTGTCTGCTGTCCGGGCCGGCCGATAAGCATTGTCTTTGCCGGGCGGCTGTGTTGGCTTTTTTCCCCTTTGTATGGGCGCATAATATAGAGGCACCACTACTCTCATATACAGGCACCAGTCTAATTTGACTTTCTAGACCAGAGGTATTTATTTGAGCCAATCAAAGTATTTATTCGAGCTAGTTAATGCATTTATTCAAGGTAGTTAAAGTATTTATTCGAGCCAGTTAAGACATTTATTCGAGTGAGTCAAGGTATTTATTCAAGTAAGTTGAAGGTATTTATTCGGGTTAGTCAAGGCATCTATTTGTAATTGACCTTGGGACACCAGATTAAAGGCCAAGACGGTGGTTTTAGCCAGGTATACAGTGGTTTTAGCGGCGGCGGTAAATTATGTTCACAGTTCCTTGCTCTCCATTACCACTAATCACTGGTAATTAGTCCAAAAGTTTTTCTTCGGGCAAGTTCTATTCCCTCCTTTCTCCCACCTCCGGTGTCATGGTCACCGCGTGGATCAGATCGTCTGCTGTGTCAGCCCGATGGACTCTCTTGCCGTCTGAGCCATCATCGGGACGTCGCTCCCTGTCTTCGTCTTCTTCATCATCTTCCTCGTCTTCTTCTCGCTGGTGTAGTGAGATCTCAGTATACCCACCCAGTGAGCAAAACGCAAATAGACCCCAGGCGAGGCCCGTTGACGCAGCGTATGCGACGGCGACCTAGATGGATGTACAAGGAATCAGTCAGTTAGTCAACTCAAGCGGCGGAAATTACTTGATGAGAATTCAAGTCTGTCTCCAGTCGAGATCAAGGATCGAGGTGTCGTAAAGCAAAAGAGAGGTCCAAAACAAATAGCAAAGCGGAACACACATATTGTGACAAGAAGAAGAAAAAGTCAACTACTCACATATGAATTCTCCCCCCAGTCCTCTTTGATCAACGGCGTGAGAACCACAACCGACAATCCCACGATATAAAACAGCGTCGAGTAGGCAATAAACATCATGGGACATTGCCATGTGAATATCGAGCGCCAGCTGATTTTCCAGTACGAGCCTGTTGATTCTGCCCCCCTCCCATGTTGTTGTTCCTCCCCACTCTGGCTTTGAGCCGGAGGGACCTCGTAAACGATCTGCGCCAAATGCCGTCTCATCAATCGTGCCGAAACCCTCTCCCAGACTCTTTTCTTTTTTTTACTACCGCCGGATTCCTCAGCGGTAGGGGTAGGTAAGTCCCCCATCAAAGACAAGACACTGCCCTGTTGAGCCGACAAGAAAATCCCACAAATCGAGGTGGACAGACTAGCGTACCAAAAGGCTGGACCGACCCAGACCGATGCCTCGACGTTTCCCCAGCTGAAAGAGGCGGTTACGATGGCGGTTAGGACTGTAGCTGCGAGGGCGGCAAAGGATAACTCGTCTTTTTTCCGCGAGCGCCAGGAGAGGATTATCGCGTAGAGATGTTCGCGGTCTGGCGAGCAAGGGTTGTCTACTCCGCCCGAGGAAGCGTGCTTGGCTATTTCCCGGGCTGGGAGGAGGGTGTTGTATGTGAAGAAGCGGTGGTAGGGGAGGGTCAGGAGGAATACTAGGGAGGAGAAGAGCAGGTCGCTTGGGGAGAGGGTTCGTAGGCGGGCGAGGGGGGAGGACATGGTGCCTTTGGGCATATGGGTTCGTTGTTCGAGAGAAACAAGGAGAGAGATGGAGTATAAGGAGGAAGATGTCAAAAAAAGGATGGGATTGTGATGGAGACGTGCCTATAAAGCTACATGTGCTTAGTTAGGTGTGGATGGCTGGCTTCTTGCACGCCCCGAGCTGTCAAGACTTGATGGTTGGCTCGTATGACCATTTCCGCTCTCAAATAGGTATGATGTGGCGCCGTCAAAGTGGTCAAGCTCGCTGTCGGGTGGATCATTAGGATGTCTCGGGCAGGCAGAGACGTCAATCCCACATTGCCCATCAGACTCATCGACGAATTCCCATTTGTTCAAAGTTCTCATGTATTTCGCCAAACGCGGCTGGTGACAGGTCGGTAGGACCCTTTGAGAAGTTCAGCTGTCTCCTTGCATCGTGGCGCCGCTGATCGGTCTTGTTTGATTCGTTGGTGTTCTCACGGATATCAAAGACGCTTCCGATTATCGGGATATTTTTTTCAAGTACGAGGGAAAACAGCAAAGGGTTTTATAGACACTTAATTCATCACCATCATACACACGTGGTACCGGGCTCTGGTTCTGTGATAAATGGAATAAATTAATACATCACATCTGGGGAATAAGCAGGTGATCCCTTTCGTCATCTCCCAAGCACCTCATCGTGCTCTGGACATGTCACGGTCATGGCGACCTCTACTTGATCCAAATCGGCGACTTACACATGGGCAGAAGATATCAAAGCTTGCCTCTGCCGGCCGACTTTTGTAGCTGCTTCGTCTTGCCCTTGTACAGCTTGACAAGCTGCCGAATAGCAAGATCAAGCATCACATCCTCTGAGCCGCCTGGAATTCTGACGCCCGGTACCTCGCGCCAGATCACTATTTCAATCTCAAGTCAGCATCACCATCAAATTTGAATGAAAGCTCCCGAAAATAAATTCAACAAAAGTGCAGGTAAAAAAAGAAAACAAAAAGACTCACTCTCAGCGATATGCCCCCTGCCACTCCTCGTATATCCATTCCCGCCAAACAAAAGCACAGCAGTATCCGCGCATTCCTTCAACACCATTCCCGCCTGCGCCTTAAGCAAAGCCGTCATACCGCCCAATTCCCTTTCGGCAACATCGCGCTCCATCTGCGTAAGCTGAAACGCAAACTGCTCAATCCAAGCCCACTGACTCTCCAACAAGGCGCCCGCCTTGGCCAGCCTGTGCCTAACAACGGGCTGCTCAATCAATGCCTTGCCAAACGCCTCCCGCGCAAGGACATATTCAAATGCCGAAGACAAGGCTACCCGGGCCGAGCGGGTTGCTCCGACGGCAATGGCGAGACGCTCGTGGTTAAAGTTTGTCATGATGTAGCTCATTCCGGCACCTTCTTTGCCGAGGAGGTCGGAGACGGGCACGCGCACGTCTTCGAGCGAGATGTATGTTGTTCCTGCCGAGATTTGGCCCGAGACTTTAAGGCGCCGCATGGTCACGCCGGGGTGGCCTAACAGGGGGACGATGAGGAGGGATATGCCGGCTGCCCCGGAACCAGGGGCGCCGGTGCGGACGGCCATTGTTGCGTGGTGGGACCAGATTGCGTTTGTTATCCATTTCTTAGTCCCATTGACAATGTAATACTTGCCATCAGCAGATTTCTCAGCAGTGGTGGTGATATTTGCTACGTCGGAGCCGGCGTCGGGCTCGGTAATAGCGATGCACGCTCTCTTCTTGCCAGTCAGGAAGTCCGGCAGGAACTTTTGCTTCACCTCGTCGCTCCCAAACTTGATGATGGGGGGCACGCCGAAAGCAATTCCCGTGGTGAGACTCCCGCCCGGACCGGCCAATCCACTCCGTGACATTTCATCGCTGAATATGACGCCGTGGAGGGCGTCGAACTCTTCGACTGGAGTTGGGCCGGGGAGATGGGTTATTCCGAGGGATTTGAGAAGATTGACGTCCAGAGGAGCGGGGAGGGCACAGGGGAGCAGGCCGGCGGCGGCGAATTCGTCAAAGACGTGCGCAGGGATGGTCTCGGCCGTTTCCCATTCTATTGCGTTGTCGTGGAGGATCTTTTGGAGGAGTGGGCGGATTGCTGCTTGGAACCTTTTGTGGGTGGCCTTGAAGATTGGTGTCGGGAGGTTGTTTAGCCAAGGGGGCTCGGAGAAGGGGATTTGGGCGTTGGTGGTTGTCATTTTGAGCAAGATTTACTTGAGAATGATCTCGATGGGTTAGATTCCGGATTCAGGTCAATGATTGAAGAAACACAAAGTTTGTCAGATACTGTGAGATGAACATGTACAAACAAGGTAATAAGAGTTGGCATTGATGTCTTTTACCCCAACTTTCAGGACCAAAACACCAACAAGCCTCGGCTTATTGAGCTTTCTCCGCACCACGCCAGAGTATCACCAGTTCCAACAGGGAAAAGGTCAGCCAGCCAAGATGCGGGGACTTTTCTTCGTCTAAAATCCGGGGTTCTGTGACTTTGAGGCTCTTGGACCCTGTCACTCTTTGTGACCTCCGCTTTACGTTACGGGTACATGTCCCTTTTTCTGGCCCCTTGTTTGCGTTGGGCACGTTCATGGATGCTTGGAAACAGACATCTTGAATCTTTCCTTTTACGGTAGATTGCTCATAATGCCCGTTGAGACATTATCGATTCAAATATAATGAGGTTGATGTATTTGACAGCTGACTGGATGAAGTGAGTACTACCAAGCAACCTGCTCGCCAACGACAGCTCATTGTATCGACACCTATCCAAGACCCAAGGCTCCAATGAGAACATAAGAACTCATATCCCCTTAAGGAGAACGAGGACAGTGAAACTCAAGGTCAGACCTAAAGCATCATTATAATTAAGTCTGTGAAGAGCTATTGGGGAATTATGGCTTAACAGAAGCACAGGAACAATAAATGGTTCAAAAGAAGAGCCGTCCAAGAGCGAGAAAGAGCATGTCAAGGCTCCTATCCGTTTGATGAATGGTGATGTGAAAGAAGCACGGGAATCCCAAGGCCAGCTACTGATCTAGCAAATAAGAGTAGTACTAGACAAAAAAGAAAGTTTTCAGGGGCCACCCGGGGATTGAACCCGGGACCTCTCGCAAATATAAGAACCTATTTAGGCAGGTTCAGCTCTTGGTATACTTGGGTGTGGCCCTAAGCGAGAATCATACCACTAGACCAGCGGCCCTTGTTGGGATTCGTTGTTCCTCCGTTGCCGGAAAGAGTTATTATGTTTCTTGGTGGTGGAACTGGATTTTTAGCAAAAGTTTATTCTTTGTGTGGAGTCTGCTAACCTTGCGAGTCTCGTTGGATCAAGTTCAGAACAGGTATCGGTAAGATCAAAAACAAACCGGCCGGTAACGGCGGATGACGACGGCCGGACCGGTGAGCTGTTCCTTGACCATTTACTGGCACGGGATCGGTACCGGGAAACGGGATGTGGCCCGAGTCTTGGCTTGATGACAGCTCCCCAAAGGGAAACATGTTGAAAGATCGTCGGTGATTACGCTTTATGATGGAAGCTGGGAGGAAATCATGCAATCTACCCCTGATGGAGCCATCGGCGGGTCGAGTGAGAGCAACGAAATGCCACCGATGAAGGAATGTGATAAGCTGACTGTGCCGTGCTGGTAGGTCTCCGAGTGCCGGACCAAAGACCGACAACTCCATCCATCAAGACCCTCGCATCCGGTCCAACAGGTAGTCCAGCTCCGGCAGGTGGGCATTGCACGACCGATGCTCGCTTCAAACACAACTTGAAGCTCTATCCGTGATGTGTACATGATCGTCTCAATATCGGAGTTTCGCATGTCAAATCCAATTTAACTCTTGCCGTTCGGGTACCGGGCTGGACGGTAGGGTGACAGACAGGCCGATCCGGTCCCCAGGTGATGCAAGGGACGGGAGAGACAGCGGGAAGCCGCAGTCTTTTGTCCTCAGGGCGAACTATGATGAACATTATGATGGACGTCAACATTTGATGGAACCATGTTCCCCAGACACCTTATCTAGGACTCAGCTCATCACGGAGAATGTGGCTAAAGTCAAATGCCATGGCATAAACGGTCATACTAGAGCTTAGACGAGCCGTTGTGAAACGATGCTGCGATGGAAGGGAAACCCGGCTTTACTTGCCTGTGGAGCTGTCCTCTGCGAGATGGACTTGAAACAGTTCGTCTGAGACAAGGCGAGAGCGAGGGATACGCGCGAAAGAGGAGAGTCGACCTACGGATATTCCGCGAAATCATGAAAAGGGGTTTGTTTGTTCTCGGTCTTGTTGCTTCTCGAACGATGGAAGGATGCGGTCAGATGGTCCAACCAGGGTCCCAGGCTTGGTTTGCTCTGTAAGAGGGAGGCACAATCGACATGGCATTGTATCGCACTCGCATCTCTCGTGATACGTATTGGCCACTGACAAATCTCTGGGTCGAGTGGGTTTTGGTGGCCCGAGGACTGGCCATCAAGTGTTCTGAAACAAGAAGGAAGGGCACAGAAAGTGCAAAAAGACAAGAGGCTCACTTGTGTTGATCGGAGCCGGATCCTCACCCCGGGATGGGATGCCATCGGCGGCTCACTCGGGGCTTGGCCCTTGCTTCATTCAGTAACATCCAAAACCCTTCGCTTCTTGAGTGCTGCTTCAAAGGCTTGGTCAGCCTGTGCGAGTCTCCGAGAGTTCGTATGCTGATACGGCATTCTCTCGATTTCCCCGTGTTCCCCGCATGGGAGAAACAACAGGAACTCAGGGGAAGCCTGAATGTCATGCACGGAAAATGTGGACATTGACAATTTGACAGAATCCAATCCACCGTGGGCCTTGCTCATCACCAGCTCGTCGAACAGGTTGATTCTCGAGTTGAACAGAAGGCGACAGAAATGGGCAAGATTCTGCACTCTGATATTGAGGTGGTGTGGTGTGTTGCTTCCAGCAGGTTTTAGCCGTGGTCATTAAATTTTTCGTCTTTCGATCAGCATCCATGGTTTGTGTGTGCCAGTGTGCCATTTGCCATTTGAGGGATTCGTCCGAGGGCTGGGACATGCCGAGAAGGGGCGTGATTCTATCACCGGTCGAAACAGTCGATCCAATCGATCAACGTCTCGGCCCTCTGCATTGTCCAGGGGTTGTTCCGAGCTCGTTAACAAGGTACCAGCCATTTCCGCTTGTGGGTGTCAATAAAACTTTTGATGAGCAAACACGCGGCAGACAACCAGCGAGTTCGCCACCGTCTGCCAGGCTTCCGAATTGCCCAAAACGTGTTGTGCTCTTAGGCTCATGTGAGGCTTTGTTAAAGTTAAATATTAGGCAGACCAGCGATCCAGAAGGTGTTTGTGTCGTCTTTCTCTTCGAAATGCGTACAAAATCCATTCAAAGCATTCGAAAATGCTGCTGCCTCAAATCGCATTTAAATCGCAGTGGGTTTCAAGTTTGGACCTGCGGAAAAAAGTAACTCGCTAAAATTGATGGTGGGGCAGATCAGCTTTGGATGAGCACCGCCCCACACCCATTCCCGCTAAACCCACACCCCACCCCATAGCGACACCACCTCATCGTCGCTGCACTGATCCCGTCGCTGTCAGCCCGCCCCCTTGGCAAGGAAAGCGCCAACCACCGGCGGATGACTATCCAAAAAGCACGGAGGAAGATCCAATTGCTTCCATTCTTCTCCCTCCCAAAACCCCAAACTCCCCCTCCCACACTTGGCTGCTGCAAGATTTCAACACTTGGCCTTTCCTCTTGCTTATTGACAACTCAGCGATTCCCATCAGGCCATCGCCATACTCGTTTCCCTCGTCCCTCTTTCGAATCAAGGGCCGGTCACATCACTGCAAGACCCATCCGCCGGCTCAACGCTAACAAATCGACGGACGAAAAAGATAAGACCGTAAAAACGGTTCCTGACCTGGGGAATTGATGCGACTGTCTCCTGAACCACCTTTCGAACCCTCCGCGTTGTCGTCCCCGAAATGTTGCGACGGCCTCCTGGCCACGTCGCTCCCCAGCGCAGCAAATTCCTCCTGGCCTTTGCTATTTTAGTCTTGCCATGGCTCCAGCTCGCCGATGCTCAGCAGCAGCAACAGCGTTCTAACCTCAGGTCGCCCCCCGAGGTCGAGCATGCAGCTTCCAACATAGCTGCCACGCCCTTGACGGGTCGACAGATCGTCGAGACTCCGAGAAGCCCCGATCGGAAGAGGATCGCCGTTTCGAGGGGCGTCGTCGACATCCCACAGCAACAACAAACCCAAAACTACGATGCCGTCATCGAATCCAACGATGCGAGCGCTGCCCACGCCGTTGCTCCGGAACTCTCCGTTCGAGCACCGGGTTCTTCTATAGTCAGAGCCGACTCCTACGGTGTCGGCGGACTCTCGCCGCATCTTGCGCGGAGTCTGAAGGATTGGGAATTGAAGGACTTTGTTCTTCTAGCGACCGTCGACGGAGACCTCTATGCCAGCGACAGAAAGACTGGCCAAGAGCGCTGGCGTCTCAAGTCGGACCATCCCATGGTCGAGACGCGACACTTTCGAGCCAACCGCTCTGTCGTCGATGAAGACTATGACCCGATTGACCATTACATCTGGGTCGTGGAGCCTACTCGCGACGGCGAGCTGTACCTCTGGCGCCCGACCGTCCCCCTCTCGGCGCCGACCAAGATGGACTGGACCATAAAGAACCTGGTCGAGACGCTTTCCCCGCATACCGACCCCCAGGCGGATATTGTCTACACGGGAAGCAAAGAGACCACTATAGTCGTATTGAATGCCGACACGGGCGCCATAATGAAGGAGTTTGGCGCCTCTGGCAGTTTCGTCAACAAGGTTGAGAGCTGTGTCAGGCCCAACGCTCTCGCTGACGGCGAGAGTGAGGAATGCGCCAACAGCGGCAGCATCACGCTGGCACGCACCGAATACAGCGTCGCCATCCACCGCTTCCAATCCGGCAGTCCTGTCGCCCTGCTGAAATACTCCGAGTGGGGAACAAACACGTTTGACAACGACCTCATCCGACAGCAGGCCATCATCACCAAGGACAACTGCTACGTCTCCACCCAGCACAACGGCCTGATCTATGGATTCGACTATGAGCGTTTCAGCGAGAAGCATCCAGTCTTCAAGAAGAAGTTGAGCTCTCCTGTCGCTCGTGTCTTTGATGTGCTTCACCGATGGGAGTCGGACGACGGGGACCTGGTGGTTATCCCTCAGCCCCCTATCCCGCCCAGCAACGAAAACAGCCTGCGTTTGCGTAACGAGAATGTCTTCATCAACCACACCGAGGACGGTGGCTGGTATGCCCTCTCGGGCAACAAGTACCCACTTATCGTCGAGGCCGACTCGGCAAAGATTTATAGCGCCGACTGGTTCGATTTGTTCGAGGGATCGTTGGATGGCTCGCAGCTCTCAAGGCTTCTCGTTGGGACACACCATATCCCCAACGACAGAGAACAGCCTCTCGGTGGTTCTCAAAAGCACATCCCATACGAGAAGGAACCTCCCAAGATGATAGACGCACCTCGACAGGATGCAGAGCCGTCTTATCCTGCTGATGGCAACCACACACCTAGCTTGTCACTGCGAGAAAAGCCAATTACCATGGCCCAGGGCGTGGCGGGCTGGTTCAATAGCCTGTGGAAATTGCTCAACGACAATCCCCTTGTGCTTATCTTGTTCATCGTCGCCTGGGCAATGTACGAACGCGGAGCAAAAAAGGACACCGCGAACAGGGAGGCCAATAAGATTGAGTTGACGACAACTATAGAGTCGTCTCGGGAACCCTCCACGTCTTCTACCTCAGCCGAGCAAGCCTCACCGGCTCCTGTTGCCGAGCCTGCGAACGCTGATAATGTCACACCTGCCACAGGCGAAGCGGGGACCCCTCTGCTTGTCGCAGAGCCTGCCACCAAGCCACGATCGCCAAGTGTACACTTTGCCGAGCCGCCATCAGTCGGCGGTGCCGACAAGCCATCGGGCGACTCATCGGGTGAAGCTGCCGCTGGCTCTGAGACTCCTAAAGCGAAGAGAAAGAGAGGTAAACGCGGGGGTGCAAAACACAAGAAAGGTCTCAAACGCGAGCAGTCCGAGTCGATGGGTGACGATGCGGGCGAGAAAGCAGTCGACGAAGTTGTCAATGAGACGGTGCAGTTCGCTGGCCCCCAGCCCAAACTGGAGCCAGACATCACCACGGTCAATTCTGGC